ATATAATAAATATAATATAATATAATAAATATAATATAATATAATATAATATAATATAATATAATATAATATAATATAATATAATATAATATAATATAATATAATATAATATAATATAATATGACATAACATAACATATTTTCCCCCTTATTTCCAGTGACTCACCGTTCTCCGATTCCAGGCTACTAGGAAATTTATCCGGCCGAGTCTGGTTGCAAGGCGCTTCCAGGGCTACAGAGAAGAGGAGGAAGACGACGAGGAGGAAGAGGAAGGAAAAGATGTCAGAGGTGCTTCCGAGAGCAACCACAGGCCGTGTTGCAAAGGAACAAGCCAGGAATGCTAGCTCAGGAGGTCCTGAAGGGGCAAGCCAAGAACCCCCCAAGGAGGTTTAAAAAGATGGCTCCGTATGGGAGGCCAGGAGAGACTCTCGGGGCACGGTGAGCTCCCACCCTTAAAATGGGTGACTGTGCAGACCTTTCCCCTCTCTTGCCGGCCAACACCTGACACAGATAGTCCTCGGCTTATGACTGGTCCCTCTGGCTAAGCGGGAGAGTCATTCAAGTGAGTTTTTGCCCCATCCTCCGAGCTTTCTGGCCACGGCCGCTAAGCAAACCACAGCCATTGTGAAGGGAGCAACGTGGTTAGGAAGCCAATTCCGCTTCCCGACTGACTTCGTTAGAAGGTCGCCAAAGGGGATCAGGGGACACGCCGGCCGTCGTAACCAACGAGTCAGTGGCCAAGCGGCCGAGTTTGGGGAGGCTGCGAGTGTGAAAAAACGGACCTAAAGTCACTCCCCCCCCCCCCCCAGTGCCGTTGTAACTCTGGTCACTAAACAAACTGTTGTAAGTGGAGGACTGCCTGTATTTCGAGGCAGCAAAGTGCCGGAGAGGGGTGTAGCCGTAGGGGATGAATCGTCCCGCAGATCTGTCCAGGGAGAGCTATTTAAAGCAGTCCCTTTGCCAAACCAGGGCACCGAAATATCCATCCCTTCCCTTCCCTTCCTTTGGTCCCAAATCCTCCACATTAGTTCTTTAAAGACCAGTGTTTAAGATGGGGGGGGGGGGGACTTCAACTCCCAGAATTCAATCAATCAATCAGAACAGAGCTGGAAAGGGACCTTGGAGGTCTTCTAGCTCAGCCCCCTGCTCAAGCAGGAGACCCCACACCATTCCAGACTGATGGCTGTCCAGTCTCTTCTTAAAAAAAAAAAAAGCCTCCAGGGATGAAGCTCCCACACCTTCTGGTGGCAAGCAGTTCCACGGGTTAATTGTCCTCAGTGTTAGGAAGTTTTCCCTGAGTTCTAAGTTGCTTCTCTCCTTGGTCAGTTTCCATCGGTTGCTTCTTGTCCTGCCTTCGGGAGCTTTGGAGAATAGTTTGACACCCCCCCCTCTTCTTTGGGGCAGCCCCTCAAATATTGGAAGGCTCCTATCATGTGTCCCCCCACCCCCAACAAGTCTTCCTTTTCTCCAGACTAGCCAAACCCAAATCCTGAAACCGTTCTTCGTATGTTTTACTCTCCGGGCCTTTGATCACCTTAGTTGCTCTTCTCTGCACTTTTTCCCAAGTCTCCAACATCTTTTTTTCTGACTGGGTGATCAAAATTGGTTGCAGGATTCCAGGTGTGTCTTTAAGTCTTACTAAGATTTAAAACAAGGGTCTTTCTAACTTGGCAAGTTGAAGACTGGTGGATGTGCAATTCCCAGGGTTCCTGAGCTAACCTGACTGGAGGGGGAATTCTGGGAGTTGGAAGCCCCCAAGCCTCCAAGCGGTCAAGTTGGAAGACACCCCGCCCTCCCGGACTTAAAACAACTTTTATTGTCACTTTGAATATACACCAATCGGTATACATTAAAATGAAATTTCATTGCAGCCCGCTCTCAAAAGGTCACCACCTCCATACACCACGTAACCATGACTAAATAAAGAAAGGAAAGAAAGAAAAGAAGGAAGGAAAGAAAAATAAAGGAAGGAAGGAAACCCTGAGAGATGCGGCTAGACTTGAATGATTTGAATGGGGTGTATAGTCAGAGCCCTGACACCCACATTTGAATGCGGAGATTTGGAGAAAAATACCCGCGCTTTCTTTACACTTGCACCCCACTCTATCCGTTCACCTGTGGCGCTAAATGATGGCCCCATTCATGCGTGGCCCTAACCCTACTGTGTTATTTTTCTTGTCCGGTTCCTCAACGGCTCTGCCGATTCTCCGCTTTCTTTTTTTTTTTTTTAATAAATTTTTATTGTTTTCCACCAGTACAGATCTTAGTTTGATTATTCAACAGCTTTTGTATCAACGTATAACATTATCATACATTTCCGTCCACTATTCGTACATATTTTTTTATTTTATTTATTTTAATTTTTAAATACTCTGTAGATTGTGATGTGGTGTTTGGAGCACTGTGCTGGAGTAGCTTTCAAATTTCATTGTATTCGTGGAATTACAATGACAATAAAGGTATTCTATTCTATTCTATATTCTATTCTATTCTATATTCTATTCTATTCTATTCTATATTCTATTCTATTCTATATTCTATATTCTATTCTATTCTATTCTACAGTATATCGTTTATATTTCCTTTAGTTGAAATTACTATTGTTACTTATTTGTCTATCTGTTTACATATTGCGTATCACTCTTTTGAGGTTTCTCTTCTAGCCATCTTTTCCAATTCTCATCTCTGCTATATTTTGTAAAATTAATTATTCTTCCGTTGGGGCCATACGCTCTTTCCACAGTTGCGCATAGGCTATTCTGGCCGCTGTCAATATATGTAACATTATTTTATCTTTTTTTGGGAGGGGTTTTTTTTTTTTTACCTTCATCGCGGGAGGGTCCCTCTTCCGCTTCCTCCACGTTCCCTGGCACCACCGTGATCTGGGTGCACTTGCCGTAGAGGTCGACCACGGCCCAGACGCGGGGCGGGATACCCATGGCCGCCACGCCGCAGTCCTGGCCGTTGACCCAGAGGTGCAGCTCCCCGCTGGCCGTCCGCTGGATGCCCACCCGGTCACCTTCGCCCAGCTGGTCCAGGTCCTGACCGTACTCCTCCAGGATGGAGCGCCCATCGCGAAGGACGGAGCAGCCGGAGATGATCCAAGAGCCCCCCTTGAGGCCGGTGGCGCTGCTGGGGAAGTCCAGGTGGTTGGGGTCCAAGGCGGTCACCCCGATCTCCAAGGAGCCGCTCCAGGAGTTGACCTGAGGGAAAAGCGGATGGAAGGGGAGGGTGTCGGGGATTCGCACTCGGCGTCAGCGGTGGGGGGCTCGGGGGGGGGGGGGTCAGGCCTTCCTCAAGGGGGGGGGGCTTAAACCCCGCGGGGAGGGGTTTTGGGGGGGGGGGGTGACAAGAGTTCTTGGGGGGGTGGGGTCAATATTCTTGAAAGAGTTCTGGGTGAAGCCAGCCTGGATCCTGGGTGACTGTTTTCTGAGTGGGGGCATCTCCAGGAGTCCCTTTCTTTGGGGTTCAACCCCCCCCAAACCCCCATTTTGTACCCCAGAGAGAAGTGATAAAGAGGGAAGAAATGGGTAGGAGGGAGGGAGGGACAGAAGAGGAGGGGTATCCTCTCTCCCCCGCCATGGAGGGGGAGGGAGCTCTGCATCTCCAGCTCCCCCTTGCCCCCCCCCAAACCGGGGGGGGGGGGCAGCTGCCCAGCTCAGTCCCCCAAGAGCCCCCCCCCAGTTGCCTCCATATTTTGTGGACCCCACCCTATGATCCCTGAGGCTCCGCCCCCTCCCATTGAGGGAGTCCCACCCCCCAACTCCACCCCACCCCATTGGCGCATCCTTCATTTGGGGACTGCTGCCCTCTTCTTCCCTGCAGCCCCCTCCCCTGGGACCCCACTCTATTGGCTTGGCCTTGGTATGGGAACTACCAGCCTCCACTCTGCTCCTTGGCCCCTCCCTTTGTGACCCCCCCCCCCCCGACCGAGGGTCTCACCCACCCATAGGTCCAAGACTGCCCCCCCCACTCCATGGCTTTGGGCTGATTTGGGGGGCTTCTTGTCCCTGCTAATGCAGCCCCGCCTGGGACCCCCAGGGCTTTGCCTCCTAAAGAAAGGGAAGGAGGGCAGCTGGCCAGTTCTCCCCCAGTCATTCTTTTGGAGACCCCTCCCCTTCCCGGCGAGCACCCCCCACCATTGCCTCAACCCCCTGGGGGGGAAAACCTGGGGGGTTGCAAAGAAAGGGTGGCTGCTCCTCCGACCTCTTCCCCTGCGACCCCCGAGGGTCTCCCCTCCTGCATCCCTTTGACCGCCCCCCCCCCTTATTTGGAGACCCCTCCCCTGCTCCTTCCCCCCCGCCACCCCGCCCCCGAGACCTCCCCCCCAGGTCTTTTCCCCTCCCTCAGCGCACCTCCATCCCCAAGAACCCCCCAATTCCCCCTCCCCTTGCCTACCTCCTTCCTTCCTGAAGCC